TATTCAATAAAACAACTTAAAACTGAATTTGTTTTTAAACTAAAAAATGTAGTTGTAACTAAAAATTAAAAAAGAAAACAAGTTCTTAAACTGATTTAAACCTGAATGGAAATGTTTAGCACTACATTTTTCAGCATCCCTTTTTTTTTTTTTCATTAAAAAAACAAAACAAAAAAAACGTCATGGACCCAATTTCGCTTGATTCTCTTAATTCTAAAAACTAGTTCATGGATTCCTCTTTAGACAGTTGCAACCTAAAAGGATAATCAGACAGCTGCAACTGGTCCAGAATCATTGCTGCTAGTGTCCTCACCAAAACAACCAAAGTAGAGCACATCACCCCAGAGCTAAAGTCCTTCCACTGGCTCTCCGTATATCAGAAAATAGACTTTATCACAGAATAGCTTAGCTCTAAAATACATTTCAGACTTGGTGTCAGTATATCAACCATCCTCTGGGTCTAACCTATTCTGCACAACCAGAACCTCAACCAAACATGGCAGTCCAAAAAACTACCAGTCTAACTTTCATTTTCTTTGTCATTTTATTTTTTAAGTTTTAATAATCATTTTATACTTTCTTTACCTATTTGTGTTGCCTATTTGCCACTATATTGTATTAATTTTCTCATCTACAACACTTTGAATTGTCTTTCCATTGAAATGCTATATATTTATATATGTTTAAACCTCCTTTTCAACAGTTTAACACATATATGGAACCGAAATTATGTTATTTTCTGTTTTATTGGAAGTTGTAAGTCAGCAGTGTCGTTACTGAAGCTAAATGCGTGGATAAATCAGGAGAGTTTGGGCATTACCCTGGACAGCTGGCTAGTTTATACCTATGTCATAATAGTACAATTTCTAAGTAATTTAATCAGCATTCAAAGCTGAGAAAATATAGTTTACCGCACGGTAGCATTTAAAGTTATACCTTATTTTGAAGTGTCAGTTTGAAGCTAAAAGAAAATGTATGGGGAAATGTTCATATTGTAATTTCATGCCCTTGTTATTAAATTATTGTTGTGTCTCTGTCTTTTGTAGGATCCGTCCTCAGTTGGCTAAAGAAAAGATCGAGGGCTGTCACATATGCACATATGTGATGCCCGGAGAACCACAAGTGGTCCTCGGCAAGGACAAGGCCTTCACCTTTGATCATGTTTTTGACATGGACACTCAGCAGGAAGCTATCTACACCCACTGTACTGAGAGACTCATTGAGGGGTGCCTTGAGGGCTACAACGCCACCATCTTTGCATATGGACAGGTTGGTCAACTCGCTTCTCCTGGTTAGGCATGCCTGCTTGCATTTCAATGGGAATAATTCATGCTCAAATTCATGCCTTTACCATCTAACAATTTCTTAGTATCGCTCAAGGTAATGGAGCAACTTCAAGAACCCACAGATTTTTGGCAGTGTAGGACATGAAGCTGATTTTATGCCTCACCAGCTCTGTCGGGGCAGCTGACATGTTTTAACCTGCGCTCAACACCACAGCTTCATATCGGCTGACTTAGATTAGCCTTAGAGGGAGAGTTTATTACCCAATCAAAGCAAAATATGAACAACCTTATCTCATACCCAAGCACAAAAGTAAACCATATCCTGGAGACATTAAACATCTGCTGCAGCAACCTGTCCCTGTACAGCTCTCTGATTGTTTTTTTTTTGTTGTTGCTTGTTTTTTTCCCAAAAACTATCGTATCTTTAGCTACTACAACTGCTGCAACAGGGGCATATGTCAATTTTTTGTCTCATTTTTATCAATTTTATTTTTTTTCTTCTTTTTATTTAGATTTTCAGGATTTGTTCAATAAACTCCACACATATACCACAAATGCAAAAAAAAAAAATGATAAAATTGCATTAAACAAGATTTAAAAAAAAAAAAACTTGCTGATTACAGTATATATATACTGAATTGGGCTGGTCTTGTTCAGTTATTCAAAAAGGAGTTGGGTATAATTAACATTTATCTGAGTCTCTCCATATGCGGTGACCTTATCACTTCTTAGAAACATTCCTTGAATATAAGCACAGCTTCTGCTTTCTGTAACCTTAAAATCAGCATTTTTGTGATTATCATTCCATAATTAAAATAGCTTTGCTCTGAAGGACTACATTTAGCAAGAGACAGATTATCCAAGCAGAGCGATATTGGGATCTGGCTTAAATTGAGAGACATTAATTTCTGAAAACCGATTAAATATGTAACCAAAAATTATACAGCTTTGGAGATGTCTAGAGAAGATGTGCCAGAGAGCCATCAGCAGACTTAAATTGATGTCTCACATTTTTAGAACAGGACCATTTTCTACTGAGTCTCTCCACCCAGGCAGAGTCATCAGCCTGTGTACCCACTTCTCACTCCCAGGACACATTAGTAAATTGGGAACCAGATTTAGAATAACAGAATATCTATCCATCAATCCATTTTCTGTCGCTCTTATCCCTGCTGGGGTCGCGAGGGGTGCTGGCTCCTATCTCCAGCTGTCATTGGACAAGAGGCGGGGTACACAGGACAAACAACTATTAACGCACACACTCTGACTTAAGGACAATTCAGAAAGGCCAGTTAACATAACAGTCATGTTTTTGGACTCTAGGAGGAAGTCAGAGTACCCGGAGAGAACCTCTGCATGCACAGGAAGCACATGCAAGCTCCATGCAGAAAGCCTGTGGGTTGGGAATCAAACCACGAACCTTCTTTCTGCAAGGCAGCAGCGCTATTCAATGCTTCACTGTGTAGCCAATAAGATAATATTTCAACAAATTAGCATTTTTTAAAGTTGGGGGACCCAACAATCAATGGGCTTGCTGCAATGGTTGGTAGTGAAAGCTATTATAGCTTTAGTGGAGCTACAGCAAGGGAATTCCAAAGCATTAGTTTTAAGGGTTAATGTAATATGTGCCTGATTTACATGTTTTTTTTCTTCCAAAGTTGTCTTTAATAGTGACTAACATCTGACATATAAGTAAAAGAAATTTTTTTTAAAACACTGAACTGTAGGAAAAGCCTTTTGTATTTACGTATTAAAGCTTTCTCTCCTGGATTCTTTCCTGAGAAGAAATCACTTAAAATAACACTTAATAATGTATATGTATTATATGACTATGAGACATGACAACAGATTAGACAGAAATTGTAATCTTACTCAGAACAGAAATGGCTCAGGTTACAAATGGCAACTGCAGGCCTTAATGCTCAGTTCCGATTTTTTTGAGTGTGTGAAATCCAATTCTTTTGCATGCTTGTTCACATTTCTAAATACATGCGACTCTTATGTGATCTCCTGTGGGTACTCCATTCACACAACTTAAGTGTTGAGGATGCAATGACATCACAAGCGAGCATGCTCTGTTTTTATGGAAGTAAACATGGATGGTAGTGCAGGAGGGCATCTTGCAATCTTTCGGTTATTTATTAACCTCAGCCACTGCTCTCCACATTATCGTCCACCATAGTTGTTGTTTTTCTTCCTACTTCTGCACTGCAAGACGCAGAATAGCTTTGAGTATTAATGGCGTTCAGGTCGGTTGAATGCGACCTGGCCATTCAGACACAGGCGGCATTTGAAAAGATCAGACTCATATCGGATTCAGGACCGCATAGCCAATTGGTCTTTTTCGCATTGGGAAAAATCAGACCTGTGTTGTTCAGACTGTCATGAACGTAGCCTAAGTGTTCTTGATCAAGGACAATCTGAATGCACAGTGACAGAGCTCTCTCTTAAGAATAATCCACTCTGTTTGCTCCCATTTTATTCCCAAAACTTGTTATGTACATAACGAAGATAATTACTTTTTATCCTGACAGATGAACTGTCCTAATTAGATACACTGCTTGGGAAAACGTTAGCCTTAACATGTAACAAGCAGGTAAAATTAGGGTTTAACAAATGCACATAAATAATAAATAATTTCAACAGTACAAACTTATAGGAATTTTGTTTATATGCAATTTAAAAATGTAATGGGATATTTGGACCTGGACATATCAGTACTAGTGGTGATAAATGTGATGTCTACATCAAAGAAATTGAGCTTTATTTGAGTATATTGAATCATCTCTGTATTGGTTTCTTCTTCTCTTTATATTAATGCTGCAGCTGTTTTATGTTCCCATCAGTTCCTGACTTTGTGCACTGAGGGAGCAAAAGAGAAGAATAAGTGACGTGGGTGTGGTTTTTAAGAATCAAGCTGATGATTTTTGTTCTTGTATGCACACTTTAAACTCAAACCGACACTTGATAAAGCCGTAAACCCTCCCTGCCAAGTTTTTTTTTTCTTTCTAAAGGTTTTCAGGAGGAGGGGCAGGATGATTTTATACCCAAAGTTGCATTCTTTCTCTGGTCCCCATGGAAATCTCCCCCCTCTTGTATCCCTTTTTTGCCAACAACTGTAAAAAGAGGCCCAAGTCACAAAATGACTTCATCTTGACCTTTCCTGTTTTGTTGTTCAAATACAAAAAAATATATGTTGTAAAAGAGGCAACTTAGAAGTTCTTTCCTCCTGTATCCAGACCGGTTCAGGTAAGACGTACACCATGGGAACCGGCTTCGATGTCAACATCGGAGACGAAGAGCAGGGCATCATTCCCCGGGCCGTCCACCACCTGTTCAGGGGGATCGAGGAGCGCAGACAGGCTGCCACCGAGCAGGGCAGGCCTGTCCCTGAGTTCAAGATCAACGCGCAGTTCCTAGAGGTACAGAACCACTCGCAGAGATCAAAGCAGACCTGCTTGATCAGATTAAAACTGACACATTTGAACACAGCCAAATTAAAACAATTTGTAGAGCGACTTTTGAGCTCTGAACCCTCTGAGCTGAAACTGTTTACCTTCAATTAGGTAGAGAAAGAAAGAACATGCTGACAGCCAGAGGTCAAAGGTCTACCGTGGGTTGTTAAAGTGCCCAGATGACCCCAGCACCATTAAACTGTCATTAGTTGTCTCTGAGGTCAACCTCTTTCTTTATTTTTAACTGACACCAAGTGGCTGCTGACAGCTGCTGAGGAAACAGCTGAATGTAGAAGATGACTAATCATTTGTCTGTTTTGGCCGTTTTCTTTTATTTTTCGCTTCCTTTGATTGTTTTCCCCGTCTCTTTAACCTGCCTTCTAGCTGTACAACGAAGAGGTTCTGGATTTGTTTGACACGACCCGAGACCTGGAGGCCAGGAGGCAGAGGTCCAACATCAAAATCCATGAGGACGCCAATGGGGGCATCTACACCGTGGGGGTCACCACCCGTACCGTCACCTCGGCTGCTGAGGTCAGCTTTAAGCAGACGCCACACTACTGCACTGGAAAACTACTGCTTAGTGCCATTCGACATTTACTGCTCCCCTGTTAAACTGAACTAAATATATGTTTAAAAACATGTTTTACTGTTTTTAAGTAGAACATTCACTCAGGGATAATTAAGTTTCAAACTCTAGGGAGTATAAACATGAAAATACAGAAGGGTTTGTCCTTTAGCCACTCTTAAAAGGGCAAAAGACCATAAAATATGCCAGAAGATGCTTCTTGACCTTATATGTTGAAATCTGCTTATATAAGCAAAGTTTAATTTCACAACATATGCCTTCATTTTATTTTATTTACTTAAATAAAAGTAAAGTACTGTAAGAAAACCAGGAAGGTCAAGCATCCACGTTTATCATTGGCACCGTACACCCGTTAAAAAAGTCTCTGAAGTGAGAACTGCAGTAGAGAGAGGTATTTATGGTCACCCAGTCTCCATAAGAGCCACTAGATGCTCGTATCTACAACCCAACCTTGGTGCAAGGCATAGAGGAAAAAATTATAAAATATAAACAAGAGAAGGTTCCTTAAGTTTAATTGGACCTTAACTGGAACTTCATGCTGGGATGAACTGGACTGATTACATTTAATTTGGGAAAGCTCCAAATACCTATTATTTAGTACAGTTGAAGATAACTGATGCTGTGGTTCCTCCTCAAAAATCTCCAGAAACTACAATTGTAGTAATTAATTACTGTTTAATAAGCTCTATATACTTTAACCGTATTTCATTTTGAGGTGATGCTAATTATAAAACATTATTGATTAGGGCCTGTGATGCATCTCAAAAAGGGAAATTCCATTTCTCAAGGGCAACATTGATTCCTTTGTTTAAAAAAAAAATTGGGATGTTTTTTAACTAAAATAATCCTTAAATGTGCTTTTGAACATCCTTATACGCTGATGACACCCCTGTTTTTACTGTGTGTTAGAAGTCTTTTTTTGTGCTTAACTCACAAGCAAATATTCACATTTACATCGCTTCGCCCTCCTAACTAACAGATGATGCAATGCCTGAAGCTGGGCGCCTTGTCTCGCACCACCGCCAGCACCCAGATGAATGTCCAGAGTTCACGCTCCCACGCCATCTTCACCATCCACCTCTGCCAAGTGCGAGTCTGCTCTACTGATAACAATGTAGGCACCACACGAGACTACAGCCAACAACTGCCCCACCGGTCATGATAAGCCTTAAACTGATTCCTTGAGTGTGGCTCATGTCTCTTCTTCCCATCCAGGATAATGTCACCGATAACCGGCTGGCTAGTGATTCAGAAATAAATGAGTTTGAAACGCTGACCGCCAAGTTCCACTTTGTGGATCTGGCCGGCTCAGAGAGACTGAAAAGAACCGGAGCGACGGGAGACCGAGCAAAAGAGGGCATCTCCATCAACTGTGGACTGGTGAGGAAGTTGACTTCAGTTGACTTGAGAAGAGAAATAGAGCAACAGAGACATCTGGTGGTTAGAATAGGAAGTGCGCTACATTTAAAAAATATATATTTTTGAACTCCTCAGCTTGCCTTGGGAAATGTCATCAGTGCTTTGGGGGACCGAAGTAAACGCTCCACCCACGTGCCTTACAGAGACTCCAAACTCACCCGGCTCTTACAGGACTCACTAGGCGGCAACAGGTTTGTGGGTCCAAAGGAGAGAGACATTTAATCCAGGAAACGTGGATCCTCATTTCTGTTTTTTCCTTTTTTTTAAGCCAAACTGTCATGATCGCCTGCATCAGCCCATCTGACCGAGACTTCATGGAGACCTTGAACACCCTAAAGTACGCCAACAGGGCCCGAAACATCAAGAACAAGGTAATGGTGAACCAGGACAGAGCCAGCCAGCAGATCAGTGCCCTCAGGACGGAGATAGCCCGCCTGCAGATGGAGCTGATGGAGTACAAGACGGTAGGAATATGAAGGGTCAGATATACCGAAGGAGATAAAGCAGGACAGAGACTGACTGACGATCTGCCTTGATGCACAGGGGAAACGTGTGTTGGGGGAAGATGGTGTGGAGGGCATCAATGATCTGGTCCATGAGAACTCCATGTTGCAGACGGAGAACAACAACCTGAGAGTGAGAGTGAAGGCTATGCAAGAGACTATTGATGCACAGAGGATGCGGCTGACGCAGCTCCTCAGTGAGCAGGCCAGCCAGGTCCTCGCTAAAGCAGGTGGGAGTCATAGTTTCAGGCGCTGGGTATGTGATCAAAGAGTAGATAGATGATTTCTAGATCCATATTCTTTACATATAAAGCTGTTAAAGGCAAGTTTCTGGGCATAATGGTACCTCATCTGTTTGTAGGTGAGGGGAGTGAAGAAATTGGGAATATGATTCAGAACTACATTAAAGAAATCGAAGAGCTGCGGTCAGTATAAAAATATATTTTTATTATTATTGCCATTAACTGAACTAATATACTTTGAGCTTCAGGTTTTCAGACAGGTCTTTGTGCGTCTTCCAGAGCGAAGCTTCTCGAGAGCGAAGCCGTGAACGAGAATCTGAGAAAGAGCCTGTCTCGGGCGTCGGCTCGCTCATCGCTGTACGGCGGCCCAGGCTCCTTTTCCTCCGCCCTGATCGCCCCGGAGAAGGAGGCCAGCGACGTCATCGAGATGGCCAAGAAAAACCTGGAGAAGCTTAAGAAGATGGAGAAGAAGAAGAAGAAAAGGTGCAGTACGGCTTCTTTGATCAAGTCTGCAGGGTTTTGCTTCCAGTATTAAAGACCGAAACTCCTTTTGTCTGCTGCAACGCCTCGTAGCTGCTCTATCTCACTCTCTCTGTCCCTCTGCTGTCTTGTTAACTTCCCTGTTCTCACTCCCGCCCTCTCCACATTCACCCACTCCCTCCCCACTCTCTCTCTAAAGGCTGATGCGGTACGAGGAGAATCAGCACCCTGAGGCTGAGCTGGCCAGGTCTGCTTTACAAACCAGAATCTGACAGAATCGCTCAAAAGCGAGATTATCCAGATTAACAGACGGGATTTTTACCTCACTGCATCCCAGATCTTCCTTCTAACATTTCCCTAAATTAACATTAACCTCCTTTTCTGTCCCTGCAGGTGGTTTGTGCCCCTATAGCGAGACAGAGTTTCTAAATGTCTCTAGTTGTTGCTTGTTAATTGCACTCTAATACGTACTGATCAAATCTTGATTGATGCATTAATATTAAAGTTTTGACTCCAGATAAGTAACAGTCAGCTGTGTTTTCCTGTCTGCTGTGGTGTCATTTATGATGATCTAAGCGATTACATCTAACACTCCATCTTTGTCAAATCCTTACCAATCTGACCTTAACCTGATCAAGTCTCTGACTGTTTACATGTCTCCTTTATCTGTTGATGTTAGATACAGATGATAGAACCAATCTTAAGAGGTTCTTTTTTTTCCCCCCCAGTGTTGTCAAGGAGGAGCTCCCTGACAACGATCAGGAGAGAAGCAACGAGGAGGCGGAGGGGGTAGGTGGCACCTCCTTAGAAGCTCTGATTGTTTTATTTCTGCAGTCCTTTGCTTTTATTGATTATTTATATATATTTATATATTATTATTTCTTATTGATTTTTTTTTACCTTTGAGATATAAAGTATGCATATTCTTAAGCACACCTAAATATTTATTGTTTTTCAGCTTTTTTCCCTTAATTTTTTTTTAAAGAATCTTGATTAGCCTTTAAGAGTAATAAATACATTTTGGCTCTTTTTCATAAAAACATATTTGCTCTTATTAGCCTCTTTTCTGTGCATTTCTTAGCAAAAAAAAAAAACATTTTAATTTATCATTAATATCAATATTTAGAAGGGCAAATATCAATACATGGTAAAACTGCGCCCCCTGCTGCTTCAACAGGGTACCTGCATCACTCTTATCTATGGCACATTATATGCTTTTCTACATGTTCTGCAGGAAGCAAGTGGGCATGAAGACGGAGAAGATGCAGATGGAGAAGAGGATGACTTCGATATGGAAGGAGAGGAGTCGTCTGAAGGTTCGGACTCAGAGGAGCTGGATGAGAAAGGTGAGATGAACCTGCAATGAAGCAAGCCGCTCCTGCATGATGTTAGCGGATCTGACGGTGAGCTTTGAACTTCAACGTGCAGAAAACGTGCAGGCTGACTTGGCCAACATCACGTGCGAGATCGCCATCAAGCAGAAGCTGATCGACGAGCTGGAGAACAGCCAGCGGCGCCTCCACACCCTCAAGCAGCAGTACGAGCAGAAGCTGATGATGCTGCAGAACAAGATCCGAGACACGCAGCTGGAGAGGGACAAAGTTCTGCACAACATGGGTAACACAGAACCTGGGTGTTTTACTTGACCTAAGCAAACAGGGTTTAAAAAACAGTTACCCTTGCATCACCAGGCTCAGTTGAATCGGGCACTGAGGAGAAAGCCAAAAAAATTAAAGCAGAGTACGAGAGAAAGCTGAGCAGCATGAACAAAGAGCTGCAGAAGCTCCAGTCGGCTCAGAAGGAGCACGCCCGCCTGCTGAAGAACCAAACGCAGTACGAGAAACAGCTGAAGAAGCTCCAGCAGGATGTCAACGAGATGAAGAAGACTAAAGTAAAGCCCTATTTTAGTTTAACACCAACAAATCCATAAGCCTTTAAAAGGTGGGATAGTTTATCCTGTTGTGTTCCTCCACCAGGTGGCGCTGATGCGTCAGATGAAGGAGCAGCAGGAGAGGAGTAGGGCAACAGAGTGCAGGAGGAACAGAGAGATCGCGACTCTGAAGAAGGACCAGCGCAGAGCAGAGGCAGGAGCAACTGAGAGATGATCTGTGTGATTGGAAGAAAGACGAGAATATTTCAAAACTCAACTTTTTATGTCATGTTTCAGCTTCAAGTGAGGCAGCTGGAGGCCCAGAAAAGACAACAGGAGCTGATCCTTCGCAGGAAGAATGAGGAGGTAAGTCCTGTATTTAAGAAAGGCAAGTTAAAAACTCATTTGTGTAAGAAAAGGAATCTTTAAACATTTTTATATTTCACTGTTTGCAGGTGACGGCTCTGAGGCGACAGGTGAGACCAGTGTCTGGAAAGGTGAGTAGGAAGCTGAGCTCACCGGAGTCAGCTCTGGAAGCTTCATCAAGAGGGAACCTCGGGCGGCCGCGGACGTCCGGAGCAAACGCGTCCAACGGAGCAAGGTTCGTCACGTCACGTAGCTCACAGCAGCGTTCAGAGTTCAGCAGCTCTAATGGAGTCGCCTCCCTTTTCAGGAGCTCCACCATGAGGATGGGAAGCATCTACCTGAACAGGACGGCCAGGACCAAGTGGCAGTCTCTGGAAAGACGTGTCAGTGACATCATCATGCAGAGGATGACCATTTCCAACATGGAGGCAGACATGAACCGACTTCTGAAGGTAACAGACGGACGCCAAGTGGTGAAATTATTAGGAACTGATACATTTTAGAGCTTGATACCTAAAACATGAAAGAAAACAAGACACAGTTTATTTATCTCGCTGTCTTTTCAGCAAAGGGAGGAGCTGACCCGGCGGCGGGAGCGCGTGTCCAGGAAGAGAGAGAAGCTGGCGGCGGACGGCGCTGATGCCGACCGCTCTCTAGCCTCCCTGAACGAGGAGCTGGAGTCACTGGGCGCTAACATCGACTACATCAACGACAGCATCGCCGAATGTCAGGCCAACATCATGCAGATGGAGGAAGCCAAGGTGAGAGGAGGGAATCCCTTTAGTTTATGCTGTGGGGACTCTATCTAAACCATATATGGGGTTCAGATAAATAGTTCAATTAAAAGTTTCTAACAAAAAACATTTTTTATTCTGGGATTCAGGAGGAAGGAGACACCGTGGACATCACTGCCGTCATCAGCTCCTGCAGCCTATCTGAAGCCCGCTTCCTTCTGGACCATTTTGTCTCCATGGCGATCAACAAGGTACATCTTTCTCCTCCAGTCGGTTTTTTAAATGAAGATAACCCTGAATTTGGATTTTAACACAACAGGAAGTAATCTGTCTAATTAGATATGAAAACTGAAACCTCAAACTGTTTAAACCTCCCAGATCCCACTTTAATTATCTTCTTTCATCATAAATGTTTCAGAGATTTCAATGATTTAGCTGCTGTCCAGCTATATTAACTATTAGGGCACATATCTCTCCGAATAAGGTTTATAGATTATAAGTCAGTATTATAAGGAGTCTCAACTAACCCAGAGAGAAAAAAGCTTCACATGATTAGCTTCGGATTAGGAAATGAAATTAAAGAACCTCCCAAAATTAAGTAATTTGGAAAGAAGGTCTGAGGAAATAGTTATAAGTCTAGTAGGAACTGCTTAAAGCGCCACCTAGTGGTTCACCTTTGTAGTTACCTTGTGCAAACCATTTATTAGACTTTTTATTATACCGGTAGAAAAAGGCTTTATTTTTCTATTTTGCTGATTTCCACTGACTCATGATCGTCCAACTATATGAGTCTGCATAATTTGACTGACAGATTTGACTTTATTCATGGATGATGTTTATCTAATCCACTCCAACTTATATGCTTTGATCATGTTTCCTTGTATCCATGGTTGTTGATTAGATAAAATAGTGAGAGACTTTAATTTGATCAATTTAATTACATTAAGTCTCAGATTAGATTCGACGAAGCTTAATTGCTCTGACAGAACCTGTCAGATCCAGGAAGCAGGCAAAAGTAGAAGAGGCAGTGAACCTTTTTATTAACTGTCACTGTGTTGATTATCAGGGTCTGCAGGCAGCTCAGAAGGACTCCCAGCTGAAAGTGATGGAGGGGAGGCTGAAGCAGACCGAGATAAACAGCGCCACCCAGAACCAGCTGCTCTTCCACATGCTGAAGGAAAAAGCCGAGATCAACCCCGAGCTGGACGCCCTGCTAGGCAGCGCCCTGCAAGGTTGGAAACGCCTAACGAATGGCGATAGCAGCCTACGCACGCCCAGCACAATCACCTTTCCAATCATCTTTGATTTAACCAAAGTAAAGCTCTGCGCTTTACTTTGCAGGAATCAACTTAAGAAGCAACGAGAAAAATAATAAGAGATCCTTGCAAATTAAAGCGCGGGCAATTTCTCACCTTTTGGGTTTTGGATTTGATTTAATTTCTGTTTGTTTTTCTTCTGTTGTGTTGGTGTGATCTCAGAGTTAGGGTTCCTGTTACCAGGTGAGTGAGAGACATGAGTAGATACATGGCTGTGTATGAGAGAGCAGGGTACGGAACGTGCACACTACATGATTTCCATTGAAAAAAACCCCCAAAAAAACTACCCGAATGCCCTGGTAGAGATGAGTAAAAATCCTTTAAATAGATGTAAGAAGGTTCCTAATGCCCTTTAAAGAAAACAGGCCCACAGCATCACAGATACCCCACCATACTTAACTGTGGGTATGAGCTGCTTTTCCACATATTCACCCTTTATTTCATCTCAAACCCAACCTGAAGTATTTGGTTCAATCGGAGGACATAGATCAACATTTTCTCTCACAAACGGAGATGTTTAAAAGTTGAGCAAACTTTGCATGTTCACATTTTTCATGTTAAGCCAAAAAAAGGCAATTTTCTGCCCTCTTAAACAACCAATAGCATTCAATGCCTCTCTTTGCTGTAATCTCTTTTTACAGCCTTACAGAGACTGAAGATCGGCTCAGAAAAACGAGCCTCTACACGATAAAGAGATATGAGGTCAAAGGTCACAGATTGGTCATTCTTCCATTTATTTTATCGAAACCATTGGGGGAGGGCAATAAGTGTGGAGGCTGCTTTAATCCAGCAAATATGATCTATTTGAATAAACAGGAAGGAGCAATATAGTTGATTTTAGAGATTTTCTATTGAGAGTGCAGACGTGCAAATGTGTTGATCAGTGTTTGTTTTTATAAATTCATTTGGATTTTATTTTATTTTTTTGCTATTTATACCTCACTTTCCCTTATTTTAGTTGCAGTAGACGGAAACTTTAAGAAAAAATTTAAACTTTTGTTAAAAAAAAACAAACAAAAAACCTGAGGAAATCTTGAAGTGTGCATCTTTATTAGACTAACCCACGTCAAGTAACTCCGCCATAACGTGCATGGCTCCTCGGTCACCTCCTGGTCAGTCCCATTTCAGGACTAAAACTTTACAGATGCTCCCCTGTGTCCAAAGCAATGTGTGTTTGTTCTGCTGTTCTGTGGTTGAACTTTTTCTCACTTACGCTTTCTCCCCTCATCCTACACCTAATATGTAATATGTCTTCACCTTTGTGACCTTCTAAGCTGATTAAGACAGCATTGTTTTTTTTAAATGGATGCATATAAAAATAGCACAAACTGACTCTTTATGAATGTGTTCTTATTCCTTCCAGCTGCAGAAAACGGGGACTGCAGCAGCAGCGACGAGTCTACACAGAGTCCAGCTCCAGATGGCAGGTAGAAAACTATGGTGTCCTTTGGTGATTCTAGGAAAAAATAGACAGGATGGGTGCCAGGGTTTTGTTTTGTTTTTTTGTTTTTTTAATGGGGGCACAAAACAAAAGAATGACAAACAAAAACAAATAACAGATTTCCCCTTTGTCTATTGCAAAACCAAGGTTACAGACTAACAATTAACCAAGACTTAACTATCATATTTTCTTAATATGACTGGAGCTTAAAGCTGATTGTAATTTTTAAAGTCAATTTGGAAACGCAAAATATTGAATTGGCCCAAAGGATGAATCAGTTAGTCAGTGCATATACTTAAAAGAAATTTTAGTATTAAACCACAAAAGCTGGTTTAAAAAAGCAAACATTTCTTCAAATCAGCGCATCTATGCAGAGCAGGCAAACAAGATGATTTACCAAAGGAATGGGTGGATTTTTTTTCATCAATATTATGCATTTGAAATAAGATATGGAATTGTTTTTTTTTAATTATTATTTTAAACATAGATTGTTCTATTAGATTGGCTAATTGTCTTACTGACCTGCTCAATACACTTGATTCAAGTCATTTGACTCAACTAGATTTGAGTTTTTACAGTGTATGTGTTCAGTACAGGGGCCAGAACCTGTTCTAAAGGAGTCGGGTTCCCCAGAGCCCTGCTTATGTTAATGAATATTTCACTCAGTTGTGTTAAAGCAGACAGATCTGAGTGGCACAGAACTCTGGGTAAAGAATCTATGTATTACTTTCACGCTGTGAAAAAAATGCACTGGATTTTTTCACTTGGATCTAATGTGGTTTTTAGACATGCCTTTATTCAACATGATAAAAGCTATCATTTTTTATTTCTTCGATTTGTCACATAAGTTGATTTTAACTTTCTACCAATTAGTGTTTTTGAAGGTCTCACTAAATAGACGTCATTTAAAGAGCCAATTCTTTTCTTTTTAGAAGTCTAAACTGAGGTCCAGATCGGTTTTTGCTGTTTTTTTTTTTTGGTTATTGGTTATTGTTTTTTCCCCCAAAATGGTACCTGCATACTCTAATTGTCTATCAGATACTCCATTTAATTGCAAACAAGACAAAAACTGATTTCAAATTGAAAAACTGAAACTCCTAGACCCTGTTCTTTCATCCTTCATGGAGACAACAGTAAGAACTTTTATAAGAAAATTAAAAAAAAAAGCTCCAGACTTTTAGCTTTCCAGGTGTTATTAACCTTTTATAGGGCAATTTACCATTTCTACTCAAATGCATACTCCTTACAAATGTCCCCTCCATCCCTCAGTGAGATTTAGAAGCACAATATCTATATCCAGCCATTCAGCAACGATACTGCTACATGGCTGTACATTTTATTTTGGCATTTGACCAATTAGATGAACACTTGAATGATATATTACCTACCGCAAATTAAGGTGAAAGAAAGGTAAAGAGTGAAAAGTCAAGGAAAAAAGGTTAAAAGCTAATTAAAAAGTTAAAAAGTAAAGAAAAAAAGGTAAAAAGCTAATTAAAAAGTAAAAAAAAATGTAAAAAGCTAATTGAAAAGTTAAAAAGTAAAGTAAAAAAGTTAATGAGCCTAGTTAACAATTATATTTAGGTTTATAAACTAAACAATTTAAGTGCCAGTATCAGCATTAATGCCTCTAAGGTTATGTTGTACCAAAAAAAAAAAAAAAATGGTTTCTTTGTGTTTTTCATGAATTTCTTATAGAAGCACTTACTTTTAAAATTTTTCTTAATATATTCAGGCAAGTTGGTGTTCTTGTTATTTGCCATCAAAATGTTACAAAGGTAATAAGGTCTTGTCCTGGATTCCAATAACACTAATAAAGGGTTAAACAAAAGAAACGCACATAGAGGATCATTTTCAAACTTGGACTGCAGCGTTTTTTTATAAATAACTAAAAAAAAAAAAAAGAAAAAAAGTTACACAACTGCTGCAAAGAGCCAAACACCTAACATATGCAGTTATTAACATTTTCATGGGCCACTCAGAAAAAACATAAAGAAATAATGTGTTTCTGTGACTTCTTTTAAATGGCCTCTTCATAAACGTCCTGTCAAACAAAGGATTCATATAGTTCCTGAGCGCCAGATAAGAACATAAGGATGTCTTTATGCTAAAAGAACTAGGATAGAAAACACACAAGGTTCTTTATCGGCGGCACTATTGGGACTTCACTGCTGCAGTTCATCTAGCTAAAGAGTCCACAATTTAATGAAGTCTGATATAGAGTTCTATATCTAGAAACCCAGAGCTGATTTAAGCTCTATGATTATTTTTCACTCTAATGTCCAGAATGTTACCAAAAGTTCAGTTTATAATCTATAAGAAGTGGGCCCTGTGTAGTCTTTTGTTACTAAAAGTGCTAAAGAACCCTGCTAACAATTAAGTGATGGTTAGTGGTAAAAAAAAAATCTGTAAATTATACAATAAAATTAAATATTTAGGTTTTAATGTTGAAAATTAGATGGTGAAGAGGAGGAAAGAGCTAAGCTATTTTAGGATACTGAAATAAAGGGAATAAACAGCTTTATATGAGCAGTTCTCTAACTGATGAAACGTCTCTTTTTCAGCACAATGTCATCAGATTTGATGAAGTTATGTGGCGAGTCCAAACCAAGAGGAAAGGTAGAGTATCATGCATTTCTCTCTGTGTTTAATCTTTAGAATTAAAACAGTCATTTTAAAGTGTTTATAAGTAGCACTTGGTAATTGGAGTTATTTTTATTTCAACCTGTTTTGGCCCCTCAGGCTCGAAGGCGGACTACCACCCAGATGGAGCTGCTCTATGCTAGCAGTGGAGATTTGGCCTGCGAGTCCCCCACCGGAGACTTCCCGTCTCCTCTGCTGCCCCTCGCGGAGCGAGGGCCGGCAGACATGTGGGGTCACCCAGCTGGTCAAGCCCCAGACCACGAGCGAACGGTCTCACCATCTGCGCTGTCTGCCAGGCCAGCTGGCTTGTAAGTTCAGAGAAAATATTTCTCCAAGGAAGCCAGAAATCTCAAAGAGGCAGAGTTCAGTCTGGGGGAAAACATGATTTCTGCATTTTTAGGTCGGAATTAATTTGGGGGGAAAACAATCAAGAAAATGGAAAAATATTTGTATTTATAGTCTTAAATTATAACCTAAATTATGCATTTCTTCTTTGTCTTTGTCCTGCTGGCCCCCATCTTTCATGTGTCTTTTTAATGCTGTCTTCTTTATGTCTTTTGTTTCTTTCCATTATTTTGTCCAACAATCCATTGTCCCTACTTCTCTCTGACCTTCTTTTCTTCACTCTCTTGTGTCCTTCCTCTTTTTAATAACTGTCTCTTCCTCTGTCCTTACTTTATTCTATATTACTGTTAATTTCTCTCCTAGGTCTTTTTCTTAATGTGCTGTGTTCATTTCATATTCTTTTATCTAACCTTCCCACTTTTTGTATTTTCCTTCTTTCCTTCATTGTGTCCTTCATCAATTCCTTAACTTCCTTCTTTCCTTTCTTTTGTCCATTCTTGGCTGTGTCCTTCGTTGTTTTATACGATTTGTTCTTTCATCCCTTTTCTTAAATTTTCTTTTTTTTTGTCCTTTCTTTTATTCCTTGTGTACTTCCTTGGTTTTCTTTCCATCATTTCCTGCCATCCTTCCTTCCACCCATCTCTCCTTTTTCCTTCCTTGTTTTCTGAATGTAAAAGTAAAAATTCACAGTGAACGTTAGTATTTTTTTTGTCAAATTAACAAACTGGGGATTTACAGAACTTGCTGGAAAAGTTGTATTTTTTTTTCCTGCTATGAAATGTATCTAATGACCCCTCAAACTGATTTTGTGGGGGTGAATAAGCTTTTATATTAGTGCAATATGAGCTGATGAGTGGTCTTGTCTTTAGCTCAGGATCTAGGTCGCCTACGGGAGTGGAGAGGAAACAGCTGGAGGGCTCACCTCTGAACCGCCGGAAGGTGCTGGAAAAAGGCCCCACTGTGCCTCCCATTGCAGCCCCGGCACAGACACCTCCAGCGGGCCCCGCAGAAACTAAAACTAAAGGCGGCGAATACAAATCAATGTAAAAACCTCTATTGCTCAGACTAACATTATTGTTTGTGCTTTTAGCCATCCTCCACATTTATGTAGCCTGCAACTTGTCAGTATCTGTATCTGTCCCCCCCCAAGGTTTTTCACCAAACCTTAGTGGGAGATTTTGAAATAGTTTGGACAGGAAACCCTGTCAGGGTTAGGTGAGGGTAGGTGCAGCTAAAGGTTGTAGGTTTTCAGAGGATTTAACTGAAGCAAAGTGGCAAAATTTGGGATTTTTATAGCACAGTAAATGTTACTGAGTAACAATAAGTGGACTGTAGTTATGTGGAACATTTTTTTAAATTTGTTTTACAATATCTGGCACAGTGAATAGGTGGGAATACGGACTAGATATGAACCTGGCAAGTCCTTGTGTGTTAGCACTAAGTTGAGTTTTCATGTCGGTCATTTTTTAGTATGAGAAATTTGGAATATGGAGTGAGAGTGTATGAAGACACTGAGATGGGTGAGTCTCACTCCCAATGGGTGAGAGTTGACAGCCCTGTATGTCTGGGATTGTCACCAATGTTCATTCAAACTTTTTTCAACATATAATTATACTCAAATTTGATCTAAATTAAGATTAGTATAAAAAGGTATGAAATGATATTCCCTAAAACTTCACTTTAGTATCCTTTAAGGCTAATGCACCTTCTATCTATCTCAAAACATTTTTTTCCCCAATTTACCTCACATATTAATATTTTTTTAGATTAATTAAATCATATCAAACATATAAAAACATGCATCATACACTAGTCAGTTATTTACATCTCACAGCATAGCAGCTTTGTGTTGTTAGCTAAAAAAAATTCCCTACATTGCTATATTTGACTATTCTGGGTTTTTTGTTCCTTTTTTTCAGGCTTGATGATTCGCCTGTATTTGAAGGAAACAGGTAATTTATTCAAATCATTTTATTCACTTATGAGCTTCTTGACACTATTCAATTCTGAAGAACTAAATGAAAAATAAAACATTCAGATGCAAGTAGCACATTATTGAATTATGGAAAATGATCTTCCAACTCTGCAGTTTCAATTTGCAGGTTATTGGTTGGTAAATTTGTAATGGAAATGATAAATAACAATTGCATTATTATGTGCCATGTTTCTAGGGGTGTGATCAATCCTGTGACGGCTCCTAAGAACAGTCGGGGCTCCAGGATTCAGTGCGTCCACGTAGCTGAGGGCCACACCAAACCTGTACTCTGCGTGGATGCAACAGATGACCTACTTTTTACTGGCTCTAAAGGTAAAGACCTAAAAATTGGATGGCAAATTAGTTTTTTCATTGAATGCATTTGTTTACAAATCTTTTTCGCAGATCGGACTTGTAAGGTCTGGAATCTGGTGACGGGCCAGGAGATCATGTCTCTCGCAGATCATCCCAGTAGTGTCGTCTCAGTCAGGTACTGTTCAGAAATAACTTAACCCTTTATAGGGCAAGTTACCATTTTTGATCACTTGCATACCCCTTAGAAATGGAGCCCCCCCCGATGCTGCTACACGGCTGTACATCTTAATTTGGCCTTTGACCAATTAGATGAGCCTTTACATGTTATATATTACATACTGTGAATTAAGATTAAAAAAAAGTTAACAAGTCAAGAAAAAAGTTAAAAAGCTAATTGAAAAGTTAAAAAGTAAAGTTAAAGTGTTAATAAGCCACTAAGGTTATGTTGTACCTAAAAAAAATGTATTTCTCATAAATTTCTTGTTATTTTTCTTAATATATGCAGGCAAGTTGGCATTTCTTGTTATTACATTTACATAAATTTATGTCATCAAAATATACATATATTTTCAATGTTACAAAGGTAGTAAGGTCTTGTCCTGGATTCCAATAACACTACAAAAATGATCTATACATTTGTGTAAATGTCTTAAAATAAGTGTATTTACCCTTAGTTTGAGTAGGTAAATAAGAAAATCTCCCAGTAGGAGCATTTTTATCCTTAAAATTAGATTATTTGATATTATGCACTTGAAATAGGCTACTCTATTTAAAACGTAAATTTTCTTATTCCATTTGCAAAGTGTCTCACTTACCTGCTCAATTCAAGAAAAAATGCACTTATTTTAAGAAAAATTGACTGACTTAGATTTCATTTTTTTGCAGTGCACTCTTTGCTTGAAATTTAGATATTTAAAGTCTTTCACTGAGTGCCCTATAAAGGGTTAAGTTGATATTATTCCTAATATTCTCTTAAATTATTATTTTATTGGGTATTTTGTTTTTATCATAGGTACACCTCCAGCCTTGTCCTCACTGTTTCCTCTGCCTACATCAAAGTGTGGGATATTCGAGACTCCGCTAAGTGTATCCGTACACTGACGTAAGTACAGAAACTTGTGTAAAAGCAAACACAATTAACCATAAGGGATCTAGTTAGAACATGCTCTTGTGATGATCAGGTCATCAGGCCAAGTTGGGTCAGGGGATACATGCTCCACTGCTAAAAGTTTATCTATCCCACCGGGAGAGAGTCAGATAAACCAGATCGCCCTCAACACTTCCGGCTCGTTTCTGTACGCTGCAGCTGGGAACTCCATCCGCATGTGGGACCTCCGCAAGTAAGCTTCCACACATTGGATTTTAAAAGCTGGGGTCATGTCCATATTTATTTGAGTTGATAATTTCTCCATTTGCAGGATTTGTTCAGAGAACTAATTAAATTATCCTTTAAGGTTTGTCTCTACTGGAAAGCTGATAGGCCATTTGGGGCCTGTGATGTGTCTGACAGTCGAAAAGACGGGCAATGGACAGGACACCGTGCTCACTGGCTCAAAAGACCACTATGTCAAAGTAAGAACTTTCAATCACTGTTTAATGTAAATAGAAACGTTATGTCTTTGCTTTCCTGATACCAATTATTAGGGCCATCCATAGGGTAAAAATGGTTTTAGGGTATTCTTTAATACCTTTATGTCAAAACGCCTTTATGTGAAAAAGCTGTCAGCCAGCCTTACCTAAAGTCTATGAAACTCTTTCATCCAAGCAAGACAAGTAAAGAATTTTTTCCTGTCTTTCTTCAATTTAATAATCGATAGCATAAATTCAATATGACCCTAGGATAAAAGAACTTGCCTTTAAAATGGTTGTCCGTGATCATAGCTCACACTTCACAGGTTTTTAGGTTAAGTTTGAGTTAATTTAAGATCTCGCAATGTCGTAATGCAAGAAAAAAAATCAGCCCTTTCTCTACTTCTGATGTTTGGTGCTCAAGTGCAATATTTTGTGTCCGTGTTGTTTTAAACAGTTCTTTTATTCCACTTGGCTGACTGCTGCTTTTCTTTTGAAGATGTATGGCCTTCCAGCGCTATAAGGCTTCAATGGTTCTAATTTTTGCTCTCTCTTTATTACGGTTTTATAAAGGGCAAGGTAGCCTCCCTCCGATCTGTTATCATCTCTCTGTCCTCCATAGTACCAAAGGTGTTTTATTATTCATCTCTACCTAATATAAGGCAGCACTTTTTCATGTCAGGAACCACTTCCTGTTAACCCCATTGTAAAATCCTGGCTAACAGATAACTTATGTAAGGGATAAACCTGTCTGTCTTTCCAGATGTTTGAAGTGACTGAAGGTGCACAGGGCAGCATCAGCTCTAGTTACACGTTTGAACCCGCACACCAGGACGCCGTGGAGTCTCTGGTTATTCATGGTGACGTCTTCTATAGCAGCTCCAGAGATTATTATATAAAGAAGTGGGACATGGGAAGTAAAAAGTTTGTACAGGTAAGACTATGTAGTTTGATTTCTGAAGCGTAGAAGTGATCCAGGTTTAATAGTGGGTTTTGTTGTCGCCTAATAGTCAGTCAGCACCCAGACAGACTGGGTTAGTGCTCTGGGCGTGGTTCCAGGCTCCCCAGTGCTCCTCGGGGGATGCAGAGGAGGGCTGCTTCGCCTTTGGCATACCGACTCACTGGCACCCCTTGGTGAGGTCCAGGGGCATGACAGTCCCATTAATGGCTTGGCAACCAACAGTACCCAACTGTTCACAGCCTCTGAGTAAGTCACAAAATGTTTTCTCTTGAGGGATTCCTATATATAAATGCAATGTTCTCTTCATCTCATGTACTTTATTATCAAATCTTTTTGTGCTTTTCTTTTTATTTTATACAACAGTGACCGCACAGTGAAAATTTGGGAAGCAAAAAACTGCTTGGAGGAAGGACACTAACAGCTGCTCTCTGTTGTCGACAGACATCCAGTCTACTTGTTAGCTTTTTTCACTTGAGGTTGACCATGTTGGTCCACTATTGCTGCCCAACAGGGATCTGGATCAGGAAAACCTAATTGGATGTTATTTTTTCCAGGTGAACTTAGTTACTGATATTTTAGGTCAACACCAATTCGCAAAACAGGAAGGCCTTTAAAATGTCTTCTAGAGTTACAGTGGCCTGATGTCAGTCAGGAAAATATGATTTATTCTTTTGTATTCATTCTGGGATCTGGATCCAGGAGGGCAACATCTATGCATAGTGTTGTTTTTTGTGTTAAATAAATGTGGTTAGTCTTCAGCATCATTTTGTAATCAAAGCCTTGAACATTTCTTCCAACATCATTAATAACTGTGATCATATCTTGTGTGTTGACTTGATGTCCTGTTTGTCACAACAATGCAGTGCAGGTCATTTTGGTTGTGCGAGTGTGTTTGTGTAGGGGAAGTTTCCAGATGTTGCCGATGACAGGACCAAGATACTAAAAATTAGTTTTTAAGTTGTTTCTGCCCAACACGCCTTAGATAAAATACTTATTTGTGGCATGTTTTTTGCTATTTTTTCTTTTTCGTCTTTGATTTTATAAAAGAATAAAATGATGTAGAAATGCAGAATATAAACCCAGTCCATGCCTTGAAAAAAAGCTCAAATAAAATGAAGTTACTAAATGCATCATTTGGAATAGGCTTAAACTTTGAAATGCTAATTTAGCTTAAAAAACTTATTTAGTTAACAATATTGGTTCACTTTTTTTTTTTATCAACAAAAGACCTAATATTTAAACTAAATTTGATGCAAACCTCTTTAGGTTGTCAGATAGATGTGATTAAGGATAAAAATTAAAAGATACGAGTTGGCTTTTTTTTGTTTGTTTTGGCAGAAACTGGCTTCCGTATGTTTTGCTTCTTTTTGCAGATTTATCTTTTCCCTTGAGAAATTTTGGCTGATTGGTTTTATTCTTTTTTTATTTCTCAGCACAAGTAAATCACCCAAACATTGAAAAAAAACAGTTCAACCCTCTTTGTCCAGGATTAAGCCAAACTTTTATTTTTAAGTGCATGATGAAATGATTATTTGCCTAATCCAATTTTTTTCATGATTTTTCAACCTTTTTTTCTTTCCTCAAACCATATCAAAAAGTTTTAATTTAAACTTTGCAGTCTGGGCATTACATGTTAATTGATAGTTGACCATGTTACTAACGTCTTAATTTTAACAAAAATCGTTTTGTAATATGGGTGATATTAAATTAATATTATATGGTTGAGGGATTAAGCACTTTGTATGTTCCAACTCTGAGAGCGGTACAGTAGAGTTTGAGTTGCATGTTGCGTGAAAACAGATTTTCCTAACATATCGATATGGTCTGTTCCAAAGACACGAGGCAATTCTGAATTGATTCCTTCATGTACGGTTTGGCTGTGCATGTCTGTTGAACTTGAACTGCTCAAATCCTGGAAGCAGGTATTTTAAAAAAATATTACATCTTTTGAATATCTTTGAAAAATCATATTTATTTTTCTTGGCCTCGTCTAACTTCAATATCATTATGCCTGTCCTGACTGATTTGTTCAATCTAATGTCTTTATTTTATGTGTGATAAATGATGATTTGCACAGAATTTATGGGATGAATTTCTCAGTAATGGGAGTAATTTTTTTAGTTTTTTTTTTTTAACTACTGCCTGTCATGATTCCTATACTGTCTGTTTTTATAAGGTATAATTTCGGATGACAAAAATCAGGTACTTTTTTAAAAATAACTTGATGTCAGAACCAGATGTATCATATAACACCGTTGTGATTTTGTTTGTTTTTTTCCGATCATATCTCTGCTCAACATTTATTGTTGTGATAATGCTGTTCCTCTATACCAATGACTGTCATTTGCTACTCAAAATGTGAAGAATCCCTCTAATTTTTTTGACATTTAGCTGTAGTTATTTTTTCCTTGTGTGTAAATATGTTCTCTGTTGATTCTGTCGTGCACAGTTTCATGTAATGGTCACATCAGAAGTGTGTAAATAAATTGTAATATAAGCTGGCTATAAAGGTGTAGTGTGCACGATGACCAAGTGGTGGTAGTGTTGTATAGTATTTGTTTTAGTAAAGTGAAGCCAGTTTTGGCTTCTCTATCTTTCTTTAAATAAAGATGTTTTTTTTTCCAAAAGGCCTCCGTTCTGCAGATAAACACCTGTGGGGATCCCTCTTAGAGTTAAACTTAAAGCAGCATTTTTGCATTTAAGATGCCAAAGGATGAAAAAGCAGAGAAAGGTAAAAAGGGGTCAGAAACTCCACCTGAAGGCAAAACCTAATGTGATGAGTGATGAAACGATCAATATTTAATGCTGCATGAAATCAGCCAAGGAGTAATCAGGCTGGAAGAAGAACACTGACCCAGAGCTACCTTGACAATATTTATGATTTTCACCCTGACTGTTGTGCTGCCTGGTGTTACTCCTCATAATTGCTTTCAGGTGATATAGGGCGGCGTGGTTTTGACAGGGAATTACAAATCCAAGAGCAATGATATCCACACGTTAAAAGGACTTAACAACCCTTTGGAATAAGAGGATTCACATTCTTAATGCACTGCACCAAGCAGCTAATGAACTCGCATTCAGGTTTGTTTTAGAGACAGTGTGACTATACTGCAATAAAGTGGCAGTCAGATGAAACAATCCTTTGTGCGCACTTTAAAGCTTGAGCATTTTAACTAGAGCCCTGATTCAGCTTTGAAGTGTCATTGTGATAACCTTGATTCTCCTGGAATTTTGTAAATCTATGGAAATTCAACCATATTTTTCAAAAAAAGTTTGTTTATAAAGCCTAAAATCAGATTAAACCTTAACGCACTTTGCATGACAGGTTGTGTGATTCCTTTGCAATTCTATCAAATGCAGTTCAATTTTTTTCAGCAGCCCCAACTCATTCCAGATTAATAAAATAAAGTTACCCATTTGAGGACATGATTATGGTGGTTGCACCCACCTTGTGGCCAAATTCTTTTTAAAAAACGCATGCTTGAGTGCCCTCTTGGGAGGTATAATGTGCAAAATGCCCTATTGGAAGGCATAATGCAAGCTAAGGTACCCTCTTGGGAGCCAAAATGCATGCTAATATGCCCTCTCAAGAGCCAAATGGTGTGCTAAAGTACACTCTGAAGGCAAATATGTGCTAAGCTGCCCTATTGGAAAGCAAGCAGGCTAAACTGCCTTCTTGGGGGCCAAAATGTATGCTAAAGTATCCTCTCAAGAGCCAAAATGTGTGCTAAAGTGCCTTCTCAGGGGCCAAATTTTGGTAAAGTGCCCTCTTGGGAACCAAAACATGTGCTAAAGTACTCTCTGCAGTGATGAGGAAGCGCTATATTGGCCCTTTTTTTTTTCCACACCTGCCCTTCAAACATTTGTGCACACCACTGAGTAGAATTATTTGCACGCCACTCATCTCTCTTTTGCAGAAAGAGAGATGAGTGATTTTCTTCAGCGTTCAAGAGTTGATGAGCGATAAACAGATGAATTCAAAGATTCAATTCAGTTTATTTATATAGCGCCAATTCACAACACGTCATCTCAAGGCACTTTACATCATCCTACAAGACAACAAAGATACAGCAGCTGCAAAGCGTAATCATGTTTTTATAAAGGTCCTCCAGACAAACGAATAGAATCACATGTCTTATTCAGCCGTGCATTAACTTAAAAATTAATAAAACCTAAACCCAGATTTTGGTCTCCATTAGGATCACTCACTTCTGTGGAATTTGCTTTACATCTAATAGGAAAACAATTACAGCTCAAAAAGTTAAGATTTTAAAAAGTTACAAATTTCAGACAATGAAACTCCATTTACTATATATAAAATACTTACTCATGTATTTACTGAAAATTATGATTTACAACTAAAAATAAATCAAATATTTATTGTCTAAATTTTTGTCAAAAAGTAGAATATATAGAAATTTAAGAAAGTCTAGAGATATATTATTCAATACTGCAGATTAAAATTAAATGTTATATATATATATATATATATATATATATATATATATATATATATATATATATATATATATATATATATATATATATTAGGGATTAAAATGTTTTTTAACATTTTTTTATAGAGCTATTTAGTCTTTTGCTACAAGATAGAGTTTTTAAGAAAACTCCAAGAGCTTTTTGATAAAATATCCTCCCTTAGCAGAGTTTTACAGTATGGAGGAATGCAGTAACTGCTAGAACATGGCCTTTATTATCAGCTTTTCTAAGAAATCAATAACGCCTTCTCAGACAGCCTGCGTGGGCTGCAAGCTTCACTTCCAGTTTAATTGTCGTGCAGCGTATGATTCTTTTGGATAATATATCCCCCTCTAATCTGTTCAGTGAGCGTATTGATTAGTGATGCTTGGACCTAACTAGATGCTCTTGTTTCACAGTTAATTCACTCTTTACAATTGGATTTGGATGGCTACAGGCGCTCTGCATTTATCCACAGAATGCGATCAATATTGGTTATTTCCTGTGTGAAACAATGTAGGAGGAGATTCAGACTCATTTTGGGCATTGTTCTTTTTTTTTTTTAGAAATGCCTGTGCTGAAAATGGTAAATACTAGATGCATAGCTCCTTACAATAGTATTCACACCCCTTTTTTTTTTTCTTTTTGTAATTTCTGTTTAATTTTTTCCATCATGTAGAAGGTGGAAGGAATTGCATTTTTTCTGGCGGGTCTTACAAGTGATGGAAAAGTAATAATAGACACACATCAAACACTATTCCATGGTGGTGGCAGCATTATGCTGTTGGTGAGATCTTTTCTTTTCTTACATGGACATGAAAGGTGGGCCTGGTGGGATGGATCACGCTCCATAGAAATTAATTAAATTACTAAAGTGAAATATGAATTTTGTTAAGCGGATAAGCAAAATGAAGCTTAGGTTCTTATTTTATGTTTCTTTTTAGTTTTGCAGAATAAAAGGTAAAAATTTGGTATTTAATTTCAACTTTTGTTAATTTGGTTTCTCAGTTTTGTTTTGTTTGTTTTTCCAGTTTCAAATTTTATTCTTTTATATAAAGATGTGCCAGTATACAATTATTTTGACCCCTTTCTGACTCCATACATGAATGCAACACTTTTAAGATTTTTGCAGCACTATGTGCGATCTCTAAGCTTTTTTTGAGTATCGGTTGCTACAAAACAGAATCACAGAAGTTTATTATTGTTGAATGTATACCCTTTAGTTTAATTTGCATCATTATTAGATAGGGACAAACCTAAAGAGAGTTTTTAAGGCAGAAAAAAATATTTAGTGAATGTAACAGAGGCAGCCAAGTGGTGGTTAAGGACGTTTTCCAAAGCAGCTTTGAGGCTCAGGAGGAAGGGGTCAGTTTCCACCACCCCAGCTCTCGTCTCCGAGCATCAACAGAGTGAATCTTCCTGCTAAAAATACCAGCGTTGCTGCTTTATGACCAGAACTGATGAGCCGTGATGCTGCTGCCTAGCTGCTCTCCAATTCCAAGTACAGAAATCAACCCCGTCCTCTCCCAGAGGAGCCAACACAACAGATGTGAAAGAGCAACATCAGTAATATGCCTGCAAAAGGATTTTCAGTGTGAAATTGGTAGACTGCTTATTTAAAGACTCTGCATCTGTGCCTAATTCACCATTTTTTATTTACTTGGGGAAACCTTAGCAGGAAGACCAGGTGGAGGAATTTTACTGGGAAAGAGATATGGCCGACAGTGAGCAGGTCAAGCGTGTGCTCTAGTTGACAGAATGGTGCTTTAGGAATCGAACTGTCTGCAGTAGATCTCTGTATAATTGCACATCCGTAATAAATATGTAGGTGTCAGTTCCTATTATATCAAGAGGGTTTTTCAACTCATCACTGAACACAAGAGAGAAAAGTAGTACATCATACAAGATCATATCTATCTGCCT